AGAGATTCTAGTATTACCATTAGAAAAAAAATAACATAAATATAGTCGTCATAAACAATAACATTTTATAAATTTTTAGATTACTATACGAATTAAGAAATATTTTATAAGATCAAATGGTTAAAACAAAAAACTTAACAGACAAGTTACACCAGTTCAATTAATAATTAAACACTAAGTTAATTCATTCTCAAATGATTTATTCAATTGATTTGTCTTAGCTTGGAAGTGTATAAAGGAAAATTATAATATCTTCGCATTGCAAGCATAACTAGTATACCTAGGGATGGCAACGGGTCGGGCACGGGTAGTGCCTACCCGCAACCCGACCCGCCGGATAAAATCGTACCCACTACCTGACTCGCTACCCATCGGGTACCTGTTTAAAAAATACCCGCGGGTATTTTTAAACCCGCGGATACCCGTAAAAAATAAAAAAGAAATATTTAATACATATTTAAAATAAAATTTAAGTAAAATTACAAAATATATATATATATATAATATAGGTTTAATGTCTCCTTAGCTCCTTATTTTCGCCTAGAATCTCAAATAGGTCCCTTTCTTTTTCAGCGTCTCAATTGAGTCCTTATTTTTGTAAAATTGAATCAAATAAAGACTTTCCGTTAAATTAATCAAACACCGTTAAAAGAGGGTGTTAGGTGGCATGATGACCGTGTAATTTTTTATTAGGTCGCATTAAAAACGTGATTGAATTATATTTTTTTAATTTTTGAATTAAAAAATGAAGTATACACAGTCGAAACACGTTTTTAAGTAAGGGTAAAGTTGAAAATGAAATAAAATTAAGTACTGAAAAGCCCATTGTCTTCTGGAATTGCGAAATCGAAATGAAATTGGGGAAGTTAAGGTTTAGGGATAGTGGGAGGGAAGGTTTGGATGGTCATTGAATATTGCTTGAAGAAGATGAATGGTACCTTGGTGAAGATGGCCGATGTTAGGATGATGAAGGTGAACTTAAAATATCTGTCATGAAGCTGTATTGGGAGAATAATTGAGGAGAAATTTCGAATCTGAGGTCATGAATATGTCTTCTATGTGCCTTTTGCTATGGAAATTCACCTCTTTTATTGATGACTGGTTTCTATTTCTTTGTGGCTCGTTGTGTAGTGCAGGTAGAGGATGAAGGTCCTGGTGTGCCAACGGAGGATGGGAGACAATATTGGAATGGGTTATAGGAATGAACAATTGTGATTTAAGAGTAAAATTTTTCCCCAAGGTTGTGAGTGATGGTTTTCCCGCATTACGAATTGCGAAAGGCCTCTGGAGTAGGGGAACATTCCCTTTCTTAAGTGAAGAATCATGAAAAAGCCCCCCTCTGGTTTATTTTTAATCAGATCAGTATCAGGAGAAAGATGATCCTCCTTCCTCTCCCTCCCTCCCTGGTGACTTCTGGAATCTTTGGCAATTCTTCTTGCACTCCAATCTGAATCATCAATGATCAAATATTCAACCGTTGCTAACATCCCACGCGGGTTTTCCGGTCACCATCTCCATGACGGCGCATCCCAACGCCCAAATATCCGCCGGCGGCTCATATTCATTATCGTTCACCGATTCCGACGACATAAACAACGGCGTTCCCCTGAACTCGCACTTCCCTTGTTTCTCCCCCTTCTCCTTGGCGAGCTCGTAGTTCGCGATTTTCACCTCGCCGTCGAAAACGAGAACGTTCTGAAGCTTCACGTCGCAGTGAACGAAACCCTGCTCGTGAATATGTTTGAGCCCTTCCATGATAGACCTTGTGTATCGTCGAACGAAAGGCTCCGGGAGGCTTCCACCATGTTTCTTGACCCTGTCGGTGAAGGACCCTTCGGTGGCTTGTTCGAAAGAAGATCGCACTTTTGTTTCTTCCCAACCCTAAACCTCAACTTCCCTAATTCATTTCCAACTTTGCCCTTGTTAAAAACGTGTTTCTACTATGTATACTTCATTTTTTAATTTAAAAATTAAAAAAAATATAATTCACTCACGTTTTTAATGCCACGTAATAAAAAATTACACACTATCAGCATGCCACCT